AAAAAAAACAAAAGATGGTTGCCAAAACGGTGGGGGGAGGGAAGTGCACTGGACTATGGTGATGGCACATGGGTGATTTGGTGATGGGAAGCCCATGGGGATTACAACTGAGATGGAAAAAGGCACAAAATGATGTAAAAATAAACTATTATTAAAGAAAAAAAAAAGATGGTTGCCACTTGGGCAATGTTCTTGTCAAACTGGGCTCTCTCCTCTGTAGAGACATGCACACACGTTACCAATACACTTCTGATTGTTTTTTTCTCATTAGTCTCTTTGAAGCTTGTTTCATTATTTGCTAACATAGAAAAACTCAGAAAAGTAAGATTTCCTTTGCGCCTTCATAACTCTCAGGCAAAAACACTGAAGTTCAATTTCATTCCATTAAGTCTCTAAAATGTGTTGGCAGAGGAGAGCAAGGCTGCTTCCGAGGACTTGCACAGACTTTCTGAACTCACCTCTGTAACTCGTTTTTCAAGTTTTCCACTTTGGATAATGCATTACATAGCAGGTAAAGCACTGAGCTTCATTTTCAAATAAAACAATCCCCCTTTCTTACCCTACAAGCATCAACAGCATTTATATCTCCTTGAGTAAGCTTCCTGATACCAGAAAGGGAGGGGGGAGGAGGGGAAGATTCTATATTTCTCATAGGAATACATGGATACCATGTATTCAGAATGAAGGGGTACAGAAAATGCCACCTCAAAACATATGTCTTGGACATAAAGATTATTTTTAACTGATTATTTTAAAAGCAGATACAGTAAAAGCTCTAGAAACCAAGTAAAAATTACCCTTTTTTAAAAGATTTATTTATTTATGCACACAAAAGTTAGGGTGCAGGGAGGAGTGAGAGGATTCACCAGAGACAGAGTCGGGGGCAGAACAGGCAGACTGACTGAAATACACTGCTGAGGGGAGCAGCAAGCGAGACAGGCAAGGTGCCACGCCATGTGGCTCACCTCCCTGGCCAGGGATCAAAGTCACACTGCAGTGGGTGCTGATAGCTTCACAGTGCTGACTTTAACCACTTCGCTACCAGGAAGGCCCTAAAAGTTCGCTTTTCTAAGGGATTATCTACATCTATAGGGAAACCTGCATTTACAAGGATGTGTCTCTCTGTACCAGGAAGACCAAAGCTCTACGAGCCTTTCCATGGAGCAGGTAGCAACTGCCCTCTGCACACCAACCACCCTCTTCTTCCCAGTGCTTTACCTCATAACCTCCTTTAATCGCTATCTCCCTCATTCCTCCCTCCCTGGGAACACTTTACTTTTTAGCTGGAAGCTGAAGTGGTGGCTGGAGATGTTTTGGAAGAGTTACTCAGTTTTCCTGGATCTCTCCCATGCATATTGGAGGTAGAAAAGTTTAACTTCTTCTTTTTTTTTTTTTAAGATTTATTTATTTGTCCATACAGAACTGGGGTACAGGCCAGAGGCTCAGGGGGCAGTGAGAGGCTTCACCAGAGACAGAGTGGGGAGCAGAACAGGCAGATCCATGAAGCACACTGCTGAGGGGAGCAGCGGGCGGGTCAGGAGAGGTCTGCCACGCCATGTGGTCACCTCCGGGACAGGCGGGAATTGAACTCATGCAGAAGTGGCTTTGGCTTCTCAGTGCTGTGCTTTAACCCGCTGCGCCACCAGGGAGGGCCAAGTTTAACTTCTAAACAGAAGTTTTTCTCCTGTTAACCTGTCTTTTATTCTGGCGGATCTCAGTCAAGAATTTGAAAGGGTAAAGAGAAAATTACCTTTCCTCCTGTTCAACAAACAGATGTTAAAGGGCAACTAGAGCAGGATATATTATAAAAAGAGCCTCAAGAGACTGAGGTGAATGAAGTTTAGTGGCCATAATACTCTCCAAAAATGAGAAAATATATTTGATTGTAAAATCAAACAGAAGAATACACACAGCATATCCTACTTCCATAAAATGCAAGTCCATGGTAAACTAAGCAACTTATGGCTTAGGAAACTGAGAGTGTGAATGTGATGCAGGATGAAGAAATCCAGGGACTGATTAGTACTTTGGGAGACATCACTTGACTCTTAAAGGGGACAGAGTAGGAGGGCCATTAGGCCATCAGGCGAGCCTTTCAGAAGCTGCAGTGTGTCGACATATAAAAAAACTCTCCTAAAAAATAGACAAATACAAGAGTTGGGTTTCACAGCGTTATCCCCAGATTGCCGACTCTGAGCCGGGCTCTGAGTTAGGCTGCCTAGCTAGCACTGAGTGCTGAGTGCAGCTAGGGATAAAAGGGGGGAACATGGTTTAAATTTAAAAAATAAAACCAAGCTTTCCATTCCCTTTCTGGGGTCATTTTTACCACTGTGGTAAGCCAGAGACCAGCTGAGAGACAACTCGGCTTACCAGCGGAGTGGATCGTGAGTGCAAGTCTTTTTAGATGCCTTGTCGATTGGTAGATCAGGTGATAGCCTCGTTTTCTTACTTTGCTGTGGTGATACTGAAGGTATCGATCCAGAAAGAAATGCAGAATCCACAAGATAACTTTTCCAAGGATTATGACCGTCTGAACTTTGAGTGGGTTGGTGAAGTTTCCTGGGCACTTGTCCTCATTTGGATTAGGGTAAGAACAAAGCACACCTGTTAAAAATGCTAAAACGACAAACACCACCTAGTGGAAACAAAAGCAGTAAGATTACTCTTCAATACTTGGATGTGAGAAACAATCACCATCCAGCACATACATAGCGCTATCTATGAATTTGTTTTCCTGTTTTTATAAATGACTTTTTTTCAATTACAAGTTTTACAAACCTTTTAGACAGAAAATTGGTAGACAAGCTTGTAGAATATTTTTAAAATTATAAATTAGAAAATAAAAATCACCCATTTAATAAACAAATGTTACAGGCATTTGTTTATTAAAAAGGGTAAAAACACTTCATTTAGCACCTGAAAGGTAACTAATAAAATCACGGGTTAATTTACTTCATTTCAGTACTAAAGAACCAGAATAATCAATTAGATTGACAAAAATTTAAAAGTGCCAAAATATAGGCAAACATACATTCTCACACTGCTGACTTGTCTGGGAATTGCTGTTGAAAAATAATTGGAAATATCGTGAGCCTGAAACCCTTCAAAAGTAAAAGCACCGAAACCAAGGATATATGGAATATTTTCTATATTTGAAAAAAGCAGAGAACTACATATGTTTATGCATCGCACTGTCACAGAATGCTTGAATAAATTAAGGGGCACCCACACACACAATGATACATGCGGTTACAAGAATCCCTGTGGATTTGTTGCGATGGTATCAGGGAGGAGAGGAAAGACCCCTACAGGCTCTTCTGGCTGGCCGAGTAGTCTCACCAACATTAGATTGGTGGGAGAAAAAACTATGTTTAATTATGTACATATGGAGAATGGGCGTAGAAAGATTCCAAGGTCACAGAGGCAAAATGAGGGCACAGAGCATCAAGGAGTGAGAGGGACGCTCACATGACCAGGAGGGGGACTCATGATAATGACCAGGTGCTCTGTAATTAGACATTTGTCCTGCCATAGTTTCTCGTGTTAAAGGTTAGTTCTGATAAAACCCCGCCATCGGGGTAGGACTCCTGATTTTCATTCTTCTAGGTAGTGAGGGGGTGGGACCTTGGCTGACCTCAGCCCCAACAATGCACGTGCCAAGTGGCACATCTTGGGGGAGCCCTAGTCTTCAGTGGTCTTCAAAGTGTGGTACCCAAACAGCAGCAACAGCACCTGAGAACTCGTCAGAAATGTCAACTCTCGGGCACCATCCCAGACTGGGGTGCAGTCCAGCAATCTGTGTGGGGAGTCAGCTAGGTAGGGGAGTTTTGAGAAACACTGTTGTAGGGAATACATCAAATCAAATCCTTTCTTTTCTTTTTGGAAAGAAATGGGAGAAATCTTTTTGCATGTAGTTGTATGAACTGAAGGAGGGACACCAGGCTGAGCCTGTGTGTTAACTTGGGGAAACCAGCTGAAGCAGAGAAAATACTATAAACGTTAGTATAGGTCACTAACGTTTTACATGTCACAGTTGAGAAGTATTCTATAATTTTAAAAATCCAATAGAGGCAAAAACTTAAGAGCTATCATTAGAGAGCCCAATAACACACAATCTTACCATATCATAAACCTATTTAAAATATGTGTGATTTTTCAAAGTAATGTCAACAACAGTAATATTTGCTGTGGCAACTCAAGATGCATGTCGCCACCAAGCACAAACTGAAATGTCAACATAACCCTCCAGTCATGTTGCTCACGAAACCCAAGCCAATCCCTTTTATACAAAATAGTATATAAAAATGGTTCTCTTGCTCTTTAACACTTAAGATGGTCTTAGCTTGAAAATTAAGGACTACATGTCATATGCATGTAGTTTTAGTTGTACTGATAGATGATTTAAGGATAGCATGACTTGACTTACATATATTGCAAAATGATGACCACATAAGATTAGCTAATTGCTCCACCACATACAGAAACAGAACAAAGCAAAAAAAAAAAAAACAAAAAAACTTTTTCCCTGTGATGAGAAATTTCAGGATCTACGCTTAGCAAGTTTCAAATATACCGCACAGCAGAGCTAACTCTAATTATCAAGTTGTATGTTACCTATGTAAATTAGTGTTTATTTAGCTTATACATTTAAACACCTTCACATCATTTAATATAAAAGGTTTTAAAAAGTGATGGTGTGTGACGTACATGCATGAAGTATATGTTTCTATAAATTAGAGAGCACAGGTTTCACCCACAATCTGAAAGTAGAATGTTCCAATTTGCTATGATTTGGTAGGTTATTACGAGTCTGGGGACACTTACTCATTTTTATGGAAAAATATTTATTCCCAGACCCAACAAATAACAGACTGTATTATACTAAGTAGAAATGGCTATCAGGGGAAAACCTGTATTTTATATACAAAGCTGAAGAGAAACAAACAGCCACACTTCGAGGCCAAGAGGTGACTTGTGAGTGCGGCACCAGGAAAGCAGGGCACCAGCTGGTACCTGGGGCCCAGGAAAGCACGACAGAGCCAGCCACACAGCTGGGTGCTGCTCGCCTCTCCCTCGTACATTCAACTGTAAATCCACCCCATTGGAGCCGAACCAATCACAACCCCCCACATCACCCACAGCCAACCACAGCCATGTCCTCATGCGAAGCGAGCAAGGAGTGGCCAGACTCTGCCCTCTGGCTTTTTCACACTAGAGCAGAGAACACTGTAGTGAAGACACAAGCACTGAAACACAGGAAACCATGATCCCTTGGAGCAGAGCTCCCAAGAAGCCAAGGCCATTCACATGTGCGATCTCTTGGTTTTTATTCTTTTGTCTGAGGATGCGAACTTTATCTCCACTGAGCTATTAGTGACGTAACTGTAAATGTAAGGCAGGCAGTGTCGGTGTGATACCTCTAGATTAGCAAGATGATTGCTGCAGTATCTAAAACCTCTATCACATCACATAATTCCTTTTTGTGGGGAGAACAGCTAAGCTATTTCGTCTCTTAACTTCCAAGTTTCTGAGACAATATTCTTGACTGTCACCCTGTGCGACAGCTCTCCAAGACTTATCCACTAGCTGCTACACAGATGGTTTTTAAAATCCCGCAGATTTGTACTCTTATCTCGTATAAAACATGGACCGACATGCTGTGTGTTGTTCTGCAGCAACTTAACTTTGTTTCTAGGATAGATAAACTGATAGATTTCTCTCAGCACATCTAGATTCACCTGCATCTTTTTCATTTTTGTCACTGGAAAAATAACACGTCCAGATGTTAAAAAACCAAATCATACAAAAAGCAACAGTAAACTATATTAGGTATCCCGTCTGTTAGGGGTCTGTTCTCCATGCAAATAGCATCTAGTGTTGAAAGGGTTTTATAAGTAAAGAAAATGTTCTTTTAGACATGTACATAGGAACCAGTCCCTAATCCCCTTGGGAAAGGTTCAGATAGAAATATACTGTGCACACTGCTGTAAACCTGGCTTTTTCCCCTCGACAATGTAGCAGTAAAGGCCGATCCACAGAAACGGTACACATCCCCATTTCTTATTAAAGACGGCACCTGCGAAGTTCCTCTGGCTGGTGGCGTTTGCAGACTCTTTTGATCACGAACCACATTGCTGTCACCAACACTATTCTCACACGTGTGCCACAGTAAATTCCAGTAGAGGCATGGATGAAAAACTATGCACAGTCTAAATAGTGACAGATATAAGTAAACTGCCGTCTGAAGAGCTTGCATATGCTCTAAGATCACCACTGAGTGGACCCGTCTCCCAGCCGACTTACGTGGATGAACAGAAGGAGGTTTGCTATGAAGACTGTGGGAACAAGCTGGAATCTGGGTCTGAAGTGAGCATATAAGGGATGTGGGAGGTGCTGGATGTCCAGGAGTGGGTCGTCGTCAACACTCTGGGTGATATCCAACGAACCCTGGGGTGGAGAGGAACAGAAACAAGCTATAATAATCTTCCCAGATCACATTTCTAAGTCAAAGTACTAAAGCCTAAAGCTTTCCACATCATTACACAAGTCAGAAGCAAGAAAATGCACTCCTGACCCAGAGGAATTTTAAAAAGGAGTACTGTCACCCTCGAGAGGATGACTGAAACAAGTATTAGAGCAGGTAGACGAAATCGGGGCCATTGATGTTCAGACGAGGTCAGAGCGAAGGACCGTCTTCAAAACCTCACGATGTACTGATTCTTACATTCTTTTTGTTATTATCTTCTTGATGAAATACTTCTGTTGTGGTTCTTAAGTTATGTCCCAGTGTCCCACAAGAGTTTAGAAAGTTGGTAGAGGCTTTAGTTATGGTAGAAATATTTTGCAGCATTCACAGAACAGGACCATCCAGAGATCTCCATGGGGACAGTCTTGTAGATTCTCAATGGAGTGACTCAGGCCAGTGTCACTGAAGACATGACAGAGGCCACAGCAACCTAAAGGTCATTTTGTCTTTTGTCAAGGCATTGTCTTTACAGGACACCAGCTCCCCTTTCTCATGGGGAACACATCCCCCTGAGGCTGCCTGAAGCCTCAGATGTATTTTCCCATATGTATATACCTGTGATAGTTTCATTTATAAATTAGGGACAGAGAGATTAACAACTAAAATGAATGATAAAAACAGAACAATTTACAATATACTGAAATAAGTTATGTAATTGTGGGCTCTAGCTCAAAATATCTGATTGGAGGCAATATTTTTGGACCATGGTTGACTGCAGATCTCTGAAACCGCAGAGAAAGGGAAGCTATCGTACTTTTGTGTCTCTGATGCAAACAACAATCTCTCATTTCCAGAACCTTCCTGAAAACTACTATATATCAGGCACTATGCCCAAGATAAAATACAAGACTGTCCCTGTTCAGAAGGTTCGGGATAAATATAGGCAGGACTGCAACAAAAATAAGCAATATAATATAGTCCACGGAAGCACTATAGCAAATTAGCAAGTGAACAGCCCTCTGTGGGCTTCCTAACTCAGCCTAGGTCTCAAAGATCTGGGTTAATCAGGAGAGAGGATGGGAGCTGACGTTCATCAACTCTAAGCAGAGACTAGAAGGCACTGTGGCTAAGCACAGGCTTCAGAGGGTTCAGATGCAAGATCTCTGGACTCCAGCTGTGAAGTGGGCCTCTACTTCCTCATTTTAAAAAGGCAAGTGATAGCAGCCCCCTCACTGCTAAGGTTATGTGAGTTTCTACCCATGAAAGTACTCAGAGCCCTGGCTGGCACAGAGCAAGCAATCTGAGACCATGAGCCATTGTCTCTACTCTGGTCATTTCCTCGCTTGGCACAGGATGTTACCACCTGAACTCCTAAATCGGTTCCTTCCTCTGTTGTTTCTCAGGGACTTTGCTAAAACCTCCCACTCTCCAGCGCTTAGCTAGCTCTCCCAGTGCAAAGAGTTCCCCAAAAGCAAGATGCTGGTTCCTGTCCTCCAGACTGCGGGCACCTCCCCTTTCTCCTCAGCACAAAGTGCAAATCCTGTGTGGCCATCTGCTCCACCATCCACTCCCAAGCTACTTCTCTGGATCTGCCTCTCACCACCTTCCTCCTCATGCTGGCTCTCATTGTCCCCATCTGCCACGAAACCCTTTCCATCGCTTGCTGTGAATCTTCCCCACCTGTCACAGGCTCGTCTCAGTCAAAATGCTGCCTCTCTGGGCTGCCACTCCGGCCCCCTCACCTGCCATGCAGTTTTCAAATCTACGAGGTGACCCTGCGTTTATTTTCGATCTTCCGTGTGCCTTTTTAACCTTACGCACATTTATGGTTGGTTTTGAGTGGCCATGTTTGCTTTGTTTAACATACGTCATTTCTGATTCATTTTCCGTTGATTAATCAGAGGTCATGTTTTCCTGCTTGTCTGCCTGGCCATTTGGGAATGGTCCTCAAGCATTGCAAAATGACCTCTTGGGATGCTGGACATTTTTGTATTCCTAGAAATATTCTTGAGGTTTGCCCTGGGATGCTGTTACGTTTCTTGGAAACCGTTTGAGCGGGGTGGTCTTGCCTTTAAGAGTTGGGAGGTGGGAAAACAAGCATGTTCAGTCCAATAGGGTAACTATTCCCCTCTGCTGAGGCAGGACTTTCTGAATCTGAGGAAGCCCCTGCGTGCTCTGAGCCTGGGGCTGCAGGGACAGCACTCTCCCCGCCCTGCATGAGCATCACTGCTATTCTTTGGAATCTTTCTGGGAGCTCTTTGTTAGGCTGTGGAGTTTCCTTGCAGGCAGGCTCCAAGCAGGAGCCCATGCATCTTAAATTCTCCCTGGGGTGGCTCTCCTCTCTCCCTGGGAAGAGAAACTCCAGTGACCTCCATCTCCTAAACCCAGGGAGTGTCTGAACAATGCACCCTGCCTTGCCCCCACATACCCCCTTGATTCAGCCTGCTAAATTCTCATGGAGGTTGTTTGGTGCCATCACAGGCTCACCTAAGCAGCCTCCCTTCTCTCATCCTTGACATCCTGGATCTCCAAAGGGTTGTTTCATAAACTGTACATTGCTTTTTGGATGTTCAGGCAGAGGGGTAAATCCAGTCCCTGTAACGCTACCTTGGCTGGACAAAGACGTCCCCACGGCCCTCGTACACGCCTTTATCACAGCTGACAATGCTAAGTACAAGGGACCGAGGTTGCTTCACAAGGGCAAGGAAGCTGTGTTGTGTACCTCTAGCACCATAGACACAGTGGTGCCCAGTATGCGCTGAGAGAAGGAAATACCACCCACCTCCTGAACATGGGAGACCCAGAAATTAAACAAAGCTAGAACTGAAACCTGAACTGCAAGCCAACGCCACTTTCTGTTTCCCCTCCTCCTCCTGACGCACCTTCTCCAGCTTAAACCAACTTCCCAAGAGCCCCGCTAACCTCTTCCCTTTTTCAGAATCCAACTTATCTTTCCAGTTCCCAGCCAAGACTTCAGTTCTCTCTGAGACTTACCCTGCCAAGTGTTTTCTACATTAAAACTCCTAAAGCATACAGCCCATAATATTAATGTAGAGGATTTCTTCTGCTGTCTTGCATCGTTTCCTTTTTAAGCCTCTCGTTTCTGACTACATTGAAGGGGCGGGACAATGTTGTGGCTTCTCTATGTCACTTATTAGATGTTCAGTAAATATAGTGCCTTTGGTGGCTATCTCAATGAGGATATATATTCATTTCCTAAGACACAATTGGGAAATATGTATAATCACACATATAAGCCATGCCCTGTCGCTCTGTAAGTCACCTTCTGCAAGCATAAGCAAAGGGAAGACAATTCCAGATTCCAAGTAACTTTATTCCACTATTAATAATCACAAGACCACCTGTAGAAAATAATCTGTTGTTTTGCACACACAAATGCTCTTCCCTCTCCTTTTATAACTGTAAAGCTATTTCCTTTAAGGGCCCTCCCTCTACTGCTTTAAGTAGAGGTAACATCCTTCAATGCTCTTCACTGGCCTCTGGCCAGGGGTGGTCACAGAACCAACCTGCACAGGCCTCTCCAGGTCTCTCTGGGAGACAGACAGTGGCTGAGAATCATTCCAAGGTAGATGCTAAAAGGTCTGTCACATCTCTAGAACGATCCTTGTTTGGGGACTTTCACAGGCCTAGACGTTCTAACCCTTCAAATAAATCCCTTTTCTCCTTAACTAGCCTGAATTGGTTTCACTGCTCACCAAAAATATGATCTCTATAAAACCTTCACCTTTCTTAATACACTTCAGTCTGGGACTCCGGCATGATCCTTAATTTTAGTATTTTACTGAATGATAGAAATATCTACAAAATAACAAAACAGGCAACTTGTTCGGATCTAAAGAGACTGGCCTGTGGAGCTTTTGGTGAAATATTAACCACCAGTTGTTTGGTGAAATATAGGATTGTACTTCTCCTAAAGCTAAAAGCTACACAGCTAAGAACACTGGGTAGCTAGCACAAAGCAAAAAACATTTTTCTAAGAGTCTCTCATTCTCTTTTTTGTCACTTTTTGCCCATAAATTGTCAACTCATGAGTCACTTAAAAATTCAAACAGTAAATTCTTCATTATATATGAGTCTCAAATATATCTGAAACATTTTTCTAGGTGTTACGGTTAGTTTTCCATTTCTCAACTGAAAAACAAAAACAAAAACAAAAACAGAAGCTGTTAGTCTTATCGTTGGAAATTGACTTTCAGTCAAGATAATTATGCTTGTTTTTGCATAATGTCTGATAGGGCCGGAAGCTGTTTTCCTGCATCTTGTCTGACACATCTCATTCAAAGATAGTGTCATAGTTATACAACTTAATTTATATTAATCTAAATGAGTGCTTTAATAACTGTCAACTTTCCATTTCTCAAGGGTAAGCAGTGTATTACGAACCAATGGGGCAATCCAGCACAAATACATGTTTTCCCTTAAAAATTTAAATCTATTTAAATTTTAATGCACTGAAGCAAAAAACCTTTGCCATTACCCCATCACTCCAGACAATACAGTGCATTCTAGGCCAGTGGGTTTTCAGTAATATAGCTTGGATCCATTTGACTAGGGAGATTGAAAAATCCTTTCCTTCCTTGCCTAGACTCAAAACAGCAAGACACTTTTCCCCTACGGTGTGTCCTGGCGATCACTGCGACAGGTCTGCGCGTGGGACGCTGGCCCACGAGTCGGGGCCGCTCGGGGTCCGTAGTACCCAAGGACCAAACCAGGGGCCCGCCGCGGCGGGGGGCGGGGGGAGAGAGACGCGCAGGGGCGTCCGAGGCGCGCGCCCAGCGGCCGGGAGCCAGAAACACACCCGCGCCGGGGCTGTCAGGCCAGACGCGCATCACGTGAGTCTCCCAGTTCCGGATCAAAGATGCGCGCTGCACGTGGGCTGGGCACGCGCCCCCAGCCCAGAGCCCCCCGCGGCCTCCACCCGGGAAGACTAGCCCCCCGCCCGGGAGGCGCAGACCCCACGGCCACCCCTCCCGGCTCGCCGACCCCAGTCTCCGCCCCGCGCGCCCAGCCGGGGAAGAAGGGGGTTCCCGGGCCAGCCGCCGCCGCTTCCGCGCACTCACGTCCTCCATCCTGCCCCCCGCCGCCATTTCCCGGCGCCCGAAGCCGCAGCCCCGTCCAGCCGGGCCTCTCCACCTGCGCCGCGGCGCCACCGCGGCGCCAGGAAAAATGCCACCTTCTGGGCCCGCCCGTCCCGCAGCGACACACCCTCACGCGCCCGCCCGGGCCTCGACCCCGGCCCCGCCCCGCCGCGGCACCCTCGCTCGCGATTGGCTGGGGCAGAGGGGGCGTGTCTGCCCGGCCCGCGCGGGGGCCACGCCCGCCGGGACCCGCAATCTCGGTGGTGGGACTCCGCGGGCCTGAGACCTTGATGTTAAAGGACGCGTTCTAAATCTGATAATTTCACTTTCCAGCCCCACTTGCTTTTTAAAGCATTAACTTTTCCGGGCCTTGCTTAGGTTTTGTTTGCGGGCACAGCTCCTCGAAGAATTCTCGGGCTCCTATTTATATATAGCTCCAAACTCCACTAGCAGAAGGCCACAAACAATCGAAATTCTAATTTCCGTGGTCTATTTGCTGGTTTCATTGGTGGGAAATGAAGCAGTGAGTTTTTAAGGTTTTTGTTTTCTTTTTAGGTGAAATGAAAAACTTCTAATCACATTTTCTGAAAATACACAATTCTGAACCCTGAAAAGTCATATAGGAGCAGGTTGGTGGAGGTTGTCAAACTGAGTGGTGTCCTTTAGGAAAACAAGGAAGATAAAGTTTTCTCTTAATGCCAGCTCCCAGAGATAACCCAGAAATCACTTAGGACATACGGACTTTCATACTTTTAATGCTTGTTTGTACATTGTGTATAGTGTTGGTAACATAAAATCATTCAAATATCGGCAAAGGAAAAGATGGTGTAAGACTCCACCTGATCATCCATATCTCACAATGCTGAGTCTGAATTATTTCGTAAGAACGTTTTCTCAACATTTTATTGCAACGTTTTTCAAGCCTAAGGGAAATACTGAAAGACTAGTGTAATGAATATCCGAGGACCCTTCGCAATGATTTTCACTTGTTAACATCATGCTGTAGGTACGATGTCCATACCCACTTTTTTTTTTTAAGATTTATTTTATTTATTTATGCATACAAGAGCTGGGATGTAGACCAGAGAAGGGTGGGGGTGAAAAGATTCACCAGTGACAGAGTAGGGAGCAGAACAGGCAGATCCTCTGAAATACACTGCTGAGGGAGGTCATAGGGAGACAGGGGAGGTCTGCTGTGGTCAATGGGTGGCTCCCTGGCTGGGGATGGAAGGGGGGGGGCAGTAGCTGCTGCTAACTTCTTAGTGCTGAAACTTAACCCCTGGCACGACTAGGGAGGCCCCATACCCACTTTTAAAATCTACTCTTAGCAGTTTTTTTTTTTTCTCAACTGTACTCTCTCTCTGTATATATATACATATACATATGTATATATATATACACACACACACACACACATAGTTATCATGCCACAAATGCACAACTTTTAACCTAACCACTTAGGATAAAGTTGAGGACATTATGAAACATCAATTCTAGATTCTTCCTTGCCTAAAAGTAAGGTCATTTTCCTACTTAACCACAATAGCATCATCACACATTAATTACTATTGAGAAAGTTAATAGTAATTAAATACTTGCTAATGTCTAATCCATGGTAAAATTTTCCAAACTGTCCTCCAAATATCTCTCATAGCTGCTTTTAAAAAATCCAAATTATAATAAAGATTCACACTTTGCATTTTGTTATTATATCAAGCTCTGTATTTTAACAGGTACAGTGTACTGGTTTAAATCAGACTCTGAAATTACTCATAGAAGTTTGCATCTTAGTAAGAGTGTGATTTGGGCACTTTCTTAAAATCCTCATCCATGAGAATGGAACTGTTACCAATTCCAATCTCAGAGAAATTTTTAATTAAGTGAAATAATGCATGGTATATACTCTGTACTGAACTTTCTACTAAGCATTCAACAAACATTTGTCACTGTTTTGTTTTAAGTTAACTTCTTGGAGGCCTTATTAACATACACTGCCACTGTATCAATAATACTTTAAAATATTGTGTTTTTCAAGTAGTTCAGCAAGTCTCATTTTCAAAGTTTGAAAATTAAAAAAAAAATTGGGGCAAGAAAACAATGATATTGTACATAGTAGGCCAAAGAACTTGCTTGCATTTTAGGCTAGTAATAATTTGTGATTGCCTACTATAAACCAGAAGTGAACAATGTTGTAAAGAAGTAGAATTCTGAACTTTGCAAAGTTATATAGGAGCAGGTGAAATTGTTAAGCTGAGAAGTGTACTTTGGTAGGAGACCCTGAATTCCAGAATTAGAGTGAGTAGGAACAAGGGTCTATTTAAGGAAATATATGGAATATTTAAATGAAGGGAAACCAAATCTCTTTATCTTTGCCTCATTCTGCAAAAGTAGGTGGCACATTAGGTACTAGTTACTACATCCAGGTCAAAAATCAGAAATAAAAGAAATATGTTCAGTAATTGCCACTGAACATTAACATTGATACAGGGAATATAAGCAGAGATGATCCATTTAGTACATGAATATGGTTCTGTGGAGCTAGTTCCAAATATAGCCATTCAAATGGAATTTTTACAGAACTTCAGGCACAGGTGACATATAGGGGAAATAAAATCTTACATCCATAAAGTGTTTCATTGATAGTCAAAGCAATTTAAATAAGCTTAAGTCTCTAACATCATACTTGTGAAAGTGTCTAACATTTCATTTTTGCATGATTTAAATATTGTTGGTGAAGATCCTTGTATATACTCACTTTTGAGAAATAAGGGCAGAGAAGCAGAGAAACTGTTTTCTACCAAACAGTTCACCCTGAGAAGATTATGATCTGAAGATCTCTTTCCTATAAATATTATCAACATCAACATTGCTATACACTGCTTAGCCCCATCAGACATCAAAATATGAATATCTTACCCAGCATCACAATAAAATGTCTTTAATTCTTTGTAGTTACCATTATTTGTCCACTATACCTGGTGTCTGGTATTATGCAAACATTAGATGCTTAATTAACATTTATTGTAGTGCTAAAGTGGTATTGCTTTAGCTATTGATGATATTTTTTTTTT